GCCCTGCTTCACCTGCCGCCAGTGAGGAGAGCCTGACCCATAGCCTGACTGATAATGGTGATGGAATTCCAAAGTTCAAGTAGAGTCTGCTTCCTCAGCAGTTCCCAGAAGCAACTCCTTCAAACCAGGTTCATTGGGAAACAGACTCTGAGACAGAGGTTTTTGCGTAGAAGCAGTTTATTGGTGTCTCATCTCAGAAAAGATCTCCACAGTGGGACAAGGGAGCAGGATTGAGCAGGGGGAGAAACTGAACTCAGATGTGGCTTGGACTTTGCCTCAGCCAGGGAGCTTTGAAGCTGGGATGACCCTTCACAGCTGTCCTGAGCCAAGGCGAAAAGGCTGGTCCTTAGAGTCCTCATATTGACAAGGCATTGGATGTGGCTTGCTTGCTGGTGGGAGCATAAAACTTGGAGTGGGTTTTCTCTGTGCAAGGGCAAGGCTTGAGGAACAATTCTAAGCAGGTGTGGAAATAGCTCAGTCCTGAAGGGCAGAATCTGGGCAAGGCATTCGTTCTTCACTACAGGGTTGATTTTTTTATTTTGAGTAGGGGTCTCATTCTGTCACCCATGCTGGAATGCAGTGGCGCAATCATGGCTCACTGCAGCCTTGACTTCCTGGGTTCAGGCGATCTTTCTGCCTCAGCCTCTCAAGTAGCAGGCGTGTGCCACTATGCCTGGCTAATTTTTTTCATTTTTTGTAGATACAGGGTCTCGCTATGTTGCCCAGGCGGGTCTTGAACTTCTAGCCTTAAGGGATCCTCCTGCCTCAGCCTCCCAGAGTGCTAGGATTACAGGCATGAGCCACTGAGCCCAGCTGAAAGTAACCTTTAACTGGAGAGGTAGAGGATCCAACAGGGAGATCAGAGGAAGGTCAGGGATCCTGCCACGTAGGGCTGCTTCATGTTCAAAGGGGGAAAGTAAAGGAGATGTTTCAGGAAAGTGGGTGAGGAATACTCAGCCCAGTTACTCTGTTCTAGAATGAATTCCGGCTAACTACCTGGCCAGGACTTTCTCATGGGAATTGAAATAGAAAATGGCGTCTTACCCCAGTAATCATTGTGATCTATTTAATAAATTCAAATATTATTCATAATGTCTCTAGATCAAAAGTTTCCATGTTCCTATATTTTCCTGTATTTTCTGAATTATACATGAGAACATGCATCATTTTAAAAGGAATATTTAGAAGTTCTATGCAAATGAAGAAGGCCTCTGAGCTCTCTGATGCCACTAGGGGAGAAATGGGGGATTAAGTGGAGAGATGACCCCCAGTGAGTTAACAGTGACTCCTGAGGAGGAGTTATTTAGAGAATGTGCTGTCAAACTTGAAGACAAGATTTGGAGGGGCTGGCGTTGACTGACTCCTGTAACACCAATACTTTGAGAGGCTGGTTGGGAGGATTGCTCGAGCCCAGCAGTTTGAGATCGGCCTGGGAAACATGGCGAGACTTTGCATCTACAAAAAATAAAAAATCAGCTGGGTGTGGTGGTGCATGTCCATAGAGAGAGGAGGAGATAGAGAAAAGCCAAGCAGGCAAACAGGGTGGATCTTCCGGTAACAATGTAGCGAACTCCTGGCAACTGATACACTCCCGTGGGAAAACAAGTTCCCTCTGAACCTCTCAAGCTAGAGCTTAAGTACTCACTGCTGGGATGGAAAAAAGGACCACCCAGTTTACTGCCAAGATCAGATCACCATTAGGCCCCTACCTCCTGCCGATTTGTCCTTAGTACTGACCAATCAGCACAGCTAGTGCTAGCCGATTGGCCTGGTCTTAGGGCTATAAAGCACCAGGTTTCGGCCCCAGATTGGCAACTCTTTTGGGTGCCCTCCCTCTGTGGAAGCTTTTCTGTCCTCTTAATAAATCCTGCATTCTCACTTTCCGGCTGTCCGTGTCCCTCCTCCTTCCTGCGCACGAGACAAGAACCCTGACCTGAAGAGCTGCAGACGACCGTGGGAGCCGGAGAGCTGGGCACCCTGGCAGCTGGCTGGCTTGCCAGCCATCGGAGCCAGTCAAACTGGGAGAGTTGCTGGAAGAAGGCAAGCCTCTGAGGCTGAGACACTTCTGGGGGCCCACAACACTCTCACGGCTTGGCTTGCCAGGCCATTCGAGCCAACATTTCTGGGGCGAAGCTTACCAGCCCCTTGAGCTGACCCTCTCTGGGCCTCGGTTGGCGGGCCCATTGAAGCTGACACTCTCCAAGCCCAGGATGACTTGAAAAATCTGTATCATAAGCTACCTGGGAGACTGAAGCAGAAGCATTCCTTGAGCCCCAGAGGTCGAGGATGTGGTGAGCTCTGTTCATGCCATTGTACTCCAGCCTGGGGAACAGAGTGAGACCCCAACTCAAAAAAAAATGTTTTAAAAAGACTTGGATATTATAAGACAAGGTGATGTTTGCTTCCCTAGATGGTGGTTAGAATGGCCTGGTGATATTTGCCTTCTGAGAGAGTCAAATGACAACATGACATAATGGAGTCAAATGACAACATGACATCATTATGATCACATTTTCCAGGACAATCCCACTAACAACACTATTCTCAGGAAGTAGTAGCTTGCCTTACAAAACCCAGGGGGGGAGATTTGAAGGACACTTTGAAGCTGAAGAGAATGGAGAACTATGTATTAGAGGCCACTAAGTTTGGCAGAAGTTTGAGGAAATTTGTATCAGTGAATATCTTTATGTAAAAGCAACTCCTATTGTTTAGAGGCACTTCCGATGGCCAGTCCACACAATCTCTCCTACTGTGTAGATGAGTCATCATAATTTTTTGTTTGGCTCTTAAGTTAAATGTTTAAAAAATCTGACTGAGTGTGCTGGCTCACGTTTGTAATCCCAGCATTTTGGGAGGCCAAGGCGAGAGGATTGCTTGAAGCCAGGAGGTCAAGACTGGCCTGAACCACATAGCAAGACTGTCTCTACAAAAAATAAAAAAAGTTTAAAAATGTACTTGAATTATATTTTTATATTGTATATACATGGCACGTATAGTATGATCCCAATTTTCTGAAATTATTCCTATTCCTAAAGCTATGTCACACTTAGCCTTATTTGTTTATATTCTAGAATGACATCTAAACTGATGCCACTCGTTGTGGAACAATGATAATTTCTGACTAGTGAGATTTGTGTTCATTTTTCAATTACTTTGCACTTTTTTATATTGCCAGGAATATTTTTCAGTAAGAACACAGAATGTTTTGTTTGCTTTTTCCTCCATGAAGAACATCGATTATTACTTTTAAAATTAAAAATGAACATACCGTAAGTCTCCCACCTATGAAACTTCAAATTGTGAATTTTCAAAGATGCAAACGTGCATTTGTGTGTCCAATCACATGTTAGATCACGTATCGGGTGTACATTGTCATGTGCGTGCATCCTCTGTAAGTGGTTGTGCTGTTGTGTACTTTATAGTACTGTATAGAGTATAGTAGTACATAATTTCTTTATTTCAAACCCAGGATATCCTGAAGCCAACATAAAAGCAGCGGTGATGTAGCTGGTACTATAAAGTCAATTGTGTTAGTTGGGTACCTAGGCTAACTTTGTTGGACTTATGAACAAATTGGATTTACAAACACGCTCTTGGAATAGAACTTATTTGTATGTAGGAGATTTACTATATTTTAATTAAAATGGAATTCAACTGGACTTCAGTGCCAAACAGCTGGATTCAAATCCTAGATTCACTGCAGCCTGCTTATATGACTTTAGGCAAGTTCCTTAGCTTCTCTTGACCTTCATTTCAACTAGAGATACTTATCTTCCATGGTCATGTTGGGGATATGAGTTGATATGTATCAAACAGCTAAAACAGTCCATGGAACACTGAGGTTGCATACTCAATAAATGAGAAACAATGTATCATTTCTATCAGTTGGCTCCAATGTGTTGCTTCTTTTCTTATATATTTACATTTTCCCTAGATTATCTGCTTTCAACAAAATGTTGTTACCAAGACTCTGGTATTACATTATTTTGTGCCTATTCCATGTAGTTAAGCTCCCAGCAGCAGCCTAGTCTACCCCAGCCTCTGGTCTCTCTTAAGTGCCATCTGGAATCTTATAAAAATATTTTCTTCCTACTTACAAACTTAGAGAGGTGTCCTGTATCCAGGACAGCCTGCTGTAGACAATGCCAGCATTTCGTATGGATAAAGTTTGATCTGAATAAATATTTTTGCCACTCTGTTCTTCTTGGGTTATTTTATTTTATTTTTGAGTTGGGGTTTCACTGTGTCACTCAGGCTGGGGTGCAGTGGCATGATCCTGCCTCGCCATGGCCTTGACTTCCTGGGCTCAAGTGATCTTCCTGCCTTAGTCTCCTGAATTGCTGGATCTACAGGCAGGTGTTACCACACCCAGTTAATTTTTTTTTTTTAGAGACAGCATCTCACTATGTTGCCCAGGCTGATCTCAAACTCCTGAGCTCAAGTGATCCTCCCACCTCAGCCTCCCAAAGGGCTGGGATTACAGGCGTGAGCCACTGCAGCTGGCTCTTCTTGCGTTATGACTTACGTAGTGCTATCATGATGCTCCATGGATTGGTTTGAACTATATTTTTAAATAATGAAAAGCCTCCTTTGGTGCCTTCAGTTGCAGCAAGATGGAGTCTAATCTAGTTACAGACCAGGCAGAACTGACCTTATCTGTCCCTGGGGCCAAGCCCTACTTCCTCAATTCTAGCTTATAAAGGGCAGTACTTCTAGTACGGTACCACCCACATCTTCCACCTTAGGTTGTCTTTGGAACAAACTTTACAAAAAGAAAGTTCTAGTGATTAGATAGTCTGGTTACATGATATTCCTTTTCACGTTAATTTTTGCCCTTTCTGTCATGTGCCGCTGGGCTCTCCATAGAGACCAAAGGATCTCCCCTTTTTAAAAGTCCAAGACCTGACAGGCATTGCCTAGTAAAACTTTCTGACTCACAGTGCATCACAATAGTCTTTGAATGATGTAAAGGGATCAGATCCTACAACTCTGCAGTGTGCCTCTGCAGTTCACCCAACACTAGGAGGTGGCTGAAATAATCGCTGTCCTTGGAGGACCGCTTTTAAGAACAAGGTCTCCACCCACTGCAGCCTAAGCAGGTAAAGCCAGGATGGTTGTTACTGTGGGTTCCTCCCATGTTTTGAGTGCTCTAGAGACAGGAGTTCACAATTTTTTTAAATTTCTTTTATTTTATTTTTTTGAGTTGGAGTCTCACTCTGTCGCCCAGACTGGAGTGCAGTGGCCGCTCCCGGCCACCACAGCCTCGACCTGCTGG